ACTCAACCATTAATTCTGAACCGCTTTTCCCGCAATTTTACTTCGTGCATCAAAGAAGTTGGACTGTTGCCAAGATCAGTGTTTGCTGTTGATAGAGTGGGAGATTAGAACGGTAAACTTCGAAACATCTATGCATAGTTCAGGGACTAAGAACTGTTTAATTCGCACTTGCAGTGCTGGCCTGGAGACCTGTGGAACTTTCTGGATAAACATTTATATTTGATAACAATTCTCATTTCTTTTCTGGATCATTTTTAGCCAGTTATTAGCATTGTATGGATAAAAGAATTATTTAAAAGTCAAGTGGGATTGCTGAAATTCTTTTTGAGTCTGAAATTATCAAGAAGCCGAGCACCTAAATACGGAAAGTACCAAACATAACTTAATCAGACTTTCTAAAGGAAACGTTTTGGTGGATTCGTAAGTATCTTACCGTAGACTTCTGTTTAAGAGAGGAGAAGAGAAAAAAACGAAAGCTCAGAAACTCCCTTTACTGCTCATGATTACTAATCAGCAAAGTGCAATAAAACGATGTCCTGAACACGGCAGGTCACCTGCTGTTGAGAATGCAAAATTGCAGAAAGCAGCTGCTAATGATGTTGCTATTCTGGTTACAGCGTTGATCACAGCAACGGATTACCACCATTCAGCAACGCTTTCTTACTCCTCAATCGCCCTCTAGCGACAAAGTGAAGGTAGTATAGTATGAGAAAGAAAATAGTGCTATGAATGGAAAAATACATCGTGAAAGGAAATATAAATGAGCGGGTATCAAGCAACAAAAATTTCATTTTTTTTTTTATTAATCAAAATAGTTTTCTTTTATTTGAGGGCTTGAGAGCAATTTCTGTCGTTGTAAGAAGTTGCTCAGGGAATGGCTTTTGTGTAGTGATACAGTTGTAAACATTTGAAACGGGGTTGCCTCTTTTTTTTCAGATTTAACTCTGCTTTATTTGTCCCATGCAGGCTTATTTGATTACTTTGCATTTCTGCATGAAGAATTATAAGCTTGCTACTGTTACTCAAAATAAAGCCACTATTTGGGGAAATTAGAATATGGGCAACTATTAACATTTGATTCTTAATCTTTTGTATTTTCGCACTTATATTTAGTAAAATTTCCGCCTTGGAGAGAGGGGTTTGAATGATGGATGCCGACCAAGGGAGCTATGTACGCAAAAAGAAAAAAAATAAAATAAAATAAAAGCGGAAAACGGAAAGGTCAAGAAAATGAAGAGAGGGCGTAATGGATTTTAAGGCAGGAAGCGAAAGGAATGTGTAAGGAGAGCCGTTTAATGACGAGTTAGTCGGTAAAACTTTTCAAGCATTCATCCTCTCATGTCTGTGGTCCCTTTCAATAGTATCAATACTGGTGAAGTAAAACTGGTGGAATTTTTTTATAAATGACATATACCAACAACAAACTAAATTCCCCCACAGTTTCGTACTACAGTTCACTCGTCCCTGGATACGTCCGGTGCTTCAAGTATTGTGCAAACAGCGACCAGGCAGTCAGTAACCAAATCGCTCAAATTTTATTTGCACTAATTATGGGTTTTCATGTTCCCGCGAAAATAGAGCTGTGCTTTGGTCCTAAAACGATTGCAGTGTACACTGATAACGAGAAGGCTTTCTTGCTTGACTCTTTGGATTTGTGCCACCCAGTTGCACTTTTTGTTCCTATCTTGTTTAGGCTGTTTTACTGTTCTTAGTTTTATCCGAGATGGTAAGTATTTGTTTGTCTATTGTTTTCAGTTATCTTAATTTTTACTTTAGAGATTTTATGCCAGAGGGCTGAGTGTCGTTACACTAGTTTAGCTGTTGTCAAAATTCTTAAATGTTTTCTGTTTAAATCTAGATTTTTTAATTTTGAAGTGCTTAAGTTCATTCGTCGTAATAGTTTAGATTCTCGACATTTGAAATTTTACTTTAGTGCTTCTCTAGCTTCTTATTTTGAACTTCATCGGTTTAGGCGAAGAGGACAAAGAAGGTTGGTATTGTTGGCAAATATGGCACCCGTTACGGAGCGTCATTAAGAAAAACAGTCAAGAAAATGGAAGTAACTCAACACTCCAAATACACATGCGCCTTTTGTGGAAAGGTAATATTTTTTTAGTGTTTCGACATATGATCTTGTTAAGTATTAGTGATGTTTTGCTTTTAGGAGGCCATGAAAAGGACGTGTGTAGGAATTTGGAAGTGTGTTAAGTGCCATAAAATTGTTGCAGGCGGAGCTTATGTTTACAGTACTACTGCTGCAGCAACAGTGCGGAGTACAATTAGAAGATTACGGGAGACAAGAGAATGAGAATCCAGTGTCATCTTTGTTGAAAGTTTTATAATATCTGTTTATGTTGTTTTTACGGACTATTGTTCATAAACAGAACCGTGAAATACTTTGTTCTCCCGCTTTTTACACTACAAAGTGTCTTTTCCGGATTTTGGGGCTGCAGAACAGCCGTATAGATATCATATTACGCTCTGTTGACAAATAAAATCAAAATTTGTTTCTTACTCTAGCAGTGGTCGAGTTCTGTAAGTTGACTATCACTGTCTAAAATCTATCGAATTTGGAAGGCAATAAGGTCGATAGTTGGGTATTACACAATGAATTACTACATTCATCTTGCTGATTGAAAAAAAAAAAAGTTGGGATTAATTTCATTGTTTTCTAGCGCTTTTTAAAGCTTGCATTTTGATATATAACTTTAGAGATGGCGCTGTTACGGAGTCGAAAAGAATTTTTTGTTCTGTTGTGTATTGAATTATGAGTAAATAAGTTTTTGAGGGAGTTTGTTGATGCGAAGTTTGGCAAGTTGCCTTGGGTGGAATTCAGTTTGTGTCGAGTAGTTTGAGTCTTCTAAATTCCCTATATAACTGGTGGTAGATGGCAACAGACACCATTGCTGAAAAATATTTGTCGAGTGTTAAGGAGGCGAGAACGAATGGTGGAGTTGCGCCAATCAAAAAGGAATTTCTTTTGACAAGCGAGCAAAAGGTGTCGGAGAACCGTTGCGATGATCAAGGTGTGGTCACGTTTGCTGAGGAGACGTTTTATGAAGCATTATTTTTATTTTGTTCTGCTCAAGTGTTTTCAGATTCTAATGAATGTGAAGGTAAAAACAGGGTGAGGAGCAGAAAGCGACAGAGGGGAATCAATAGGGAACGAGGCAGGGAGATGGCAAAGGTTACCATATTAATTTGCTTTAGGTGGTGGTTTAATAGTTTTTCAATATTCTTTGACTACTGTTTTGACATCTGTAAGTGTTGCGGCCAAGTTAATTTTATCCTGGATTGTAATTATACGAGTTTAGGTGCCAAAAAGTTTTGTGAGACTTAGGCCTTTAGGGTAAATCAGAGCCTTCAAACGTCAGGAGAGCCTTTGTAAGCATAGAGCCGTTTTCAAATTTTGGAATGGTTAAGTAGAAGCTAGGTTTTTATGCGTCTCAAATGACGTACATTTTTTTGCTTATTTCTCATAAATATCTCAGCACATTAGATTATGGCTTCCTTCTCGTTACTGTATAGTTGCTCTTCATAAGACACTAGCGTTTTAAAGGTATTTTACCGCCGCAAATAGTTGCGGAGGACAGAGGATCCACTTTTGAACGCAAGGGAGAATTGAAAAATTTCTTCAGAGCTCTATTTTCGTTCCCGTATGCTGAAGGAGATTTTTCAAGAAAAGGTCGAGATCAATATGTGCTGTAAAATACGTTCTTTTAAGACTCAGTTTAGCTCTCTTTGCGTCTTTCAGAAATTAGATATTTTGATTCTGAATTGAAGCAAGCGTGACATTTTTCTTGAGTGGCTCACTGGAAATTGAGAAGTATTTCGATATCATTTTTTGTTTTTTGGCATTTGATACTTCTGGCCTGGTTAAATCTCTACTGTGCGGACGGGATAATTAGTAGTTTGTGTTTGTTTTCTGTTCCGCTTATAGTTTATGTGAAAGAAAAAAGCTTTAATTATGTGAAAAGGGAATCGCATTTGTAGTTTCACATTTGTGTAAATGTTTAAGGTGAGTCACATCCTGTGTCAATACCTTAATTCTTGTCAATTTCTTTGTCACATTTTAAGTTTTAACTGCCGCAAAGTTTAGGCAAGAGCTAAGAATTTGGTGCATAAAGTTCGTCTGTGTAACTCTGTGATTTCTGGTAGGCAGTGTAAGCATGGTGAAAAATGCAAACTTCTACATTCTGTCGAGGAATACCTTGCCCAAAAACCTGAGGACTTGGGAAAAAGCTGCTATATCTTTGACCAGCGAGGAACTTGTCATTTTTCTTACACTTGCAGGTAAAACATGCATTTTAACTGATATTTTAAAGACTCAGATCTATATTAAAAAATTGTTTCTAAAATATAGGTTTGCCAACGCTCACACTAGCAGTGATTTAAAACAGGTGAAGAAAGAACCTGCAAGTGGTTACCAGCCGTCTAAAAATTATGATACGATAGGTGTGCAGATTTCCCTTCGGAAGCATAAATACGATTTTACTAGAAGTGATGAAGTTGGTTATTACAGTCTTTAAAGCCGTTAGAAGGTTGATTCTTATGTTGGTTCTAAAAATTGGAAGACATATTTTCAAAAGTGACCTATGTTATGAATGGCAATATATGGTTTTTCAAAATCTTTGTGCTCATGGGGATGAAGTTTTTCAACGATGTTATTTTTTTTTCTTAATTCAGGCTGTTAAAAGTTTGAGTAGCATGACGGGGTGCATGCAGCGAGAAAAGCTGAAACTAGATACAAGGACTTTAAGGAGTAAACTATACTTAGCTCCTCTTACTACTGTTGGTAATTTGCCGTTTCGGAGACTATGTGTTGAATTTGGAGCTGAGATAACTTGTGGAGAGATGGGTTAGCATTCTAAACGCTTTCATTGTCAATGCATTAGGTTAGCGTAACATATCTGGAGAAGACTGTTCAGTAGTTGGACTGCTGGTATGATAAGATTTTTAAAAAATTCTCTGTTGTGTAGGGCGTTGTAAGAACTGTACAGATCTGTTTAATTAATTTTACCCGAGGTTTCTTTGTTATAGTTATAAAAATATTTATTTGCTTTCTCCGATTTATTCTCTAAAAATCTGTTTTTATAATGCATTTTTTGGTCGTCTCGTAACTGTATGTTGGCCTAGCAAAGAATTATTTACTGTAGTTGAATATGATATTAAAAAGTACACTTTTCCTAGTCTAAACGAAATTTATATTAGGATTGTGTACGAGCTTTCTTGGAGGTTGTTCTTCTGAATGGTCTCTTTTAAAGCGACATCCTACAGAAAGAATATTCGGTGTTCAACTTGTTGGCGGGTATCCGGATACGATGTCCAAGGCAGCACAGCTTATAAGTGAAAATGTGGATGTTAGTTTACTCACTTCACTTTTTGCTTGTTTCTTTAGTAGCTTCTGTTCAAAAGTATTTGCTCTATAAAATAGTGACGTTTTTGTTGTTGGAAATTGTTTAACTATACTTAATCCTGGGGTTTGCTACTGTCCAGGTGGATTTTATCGATGTAAATTGTGGTTGTCCGATTGACATTATCAATCAGAAAGGTGGTGGGTGTACTTTAGCTTCACGAACAAATATGTTAATATCAGTTATGAAAGCTATGAGCCTTTGTATGGGAGAAATACCTCTCACACTGAAGCTACGATCTGGCTTAAAGGTTTGTTTTTGATGCGATTATAAATTTTTCATCTGAATTGTAATGAAGGGCTACGTCTGAGGGTGTTTTTTTTTTGGTTTAAGTTTGAACGTGTTGAATGAAATATGAAACTTTAAGCATTGAATACATCTTAAGTGACAATTACACAAAATGTCACATCTGTTTTGATAAGAAATATCAGCTTCAACTTATGAAATGGACAGAGGAGAAGTTGGTTTTTTGAAAGGTAAAAAAGACCCATAAAACAGAAATATTCTTACGAAAGAATCTAAAAGAGAGTTTGTGTTTTGATCTAGCGAATTTGGCAGCTGTAGCTTGTATTATGGTTTTAGGAAGGCGTTTATACAGCTCATAAAACTATTGAGAAGATCTTGAATTCCTGTCCACCACAGCTTCTAACTCTTCATCCACGGTCTAAGTGAGTAGCTAATTAATTCTGACTCTTATTGTAATTTGTAATTTCCATCGTGGTTTTTTTAAACCGTTATGACTTTTAATTTCTGAGCGAGCGGCAGAAAGCTGAAATTGTCATTCATGAGTCAATATTATTTAGCCTTTCTTTTTAGAGAACAGCGGTATACAAAGCTTGCTGATTGGGAGTACACAAAAGTCTGTTCACAGTATGTCAAAAATACACCTTTTTGGGCCTGCGGTGATGTTTTGTCTTTTCAGGAGTACCGTCAGGTCTCTCTTTCTAAGCATTTTTGAGGAAACCGTTGCCGTTCTTGCAGTACTTTACGTCATTTAAAGCGGTGATAATGATTTTTTGAAAGTGTGATACAGCCATTTACTTCTGTATAGTTTAAGAAGCTAAAGTCTTATCCAGTAGACGGAGTTATGATTGGTCGTGGTGCACTTATTAAGCCTTGGTTGTTTACCGAAATTAAAGAGCAACGCGACTGGGATATTAGTTCATCTGAGCGACTTGAGATAGTCCGCAAGTTCGCTGTGTTAATTTTTTGATGGACTTTTATAGTTTTTTCTGACCTAAGTGAAACTGAGGGGTCTTTTTGATTGTACTCTTCTGCTGTTTGAGGTTTTATGGTTTATTTGTAGATTTGTAAACTACGGTCTTGATCATTGGGGCAGCGACGATGAAGGGGTCGATAAAACTAGAAGATTTCTTCTAGAATGGCTGTCATTTGCACACCGATACATTCCTGTTGGACTTTTGGAGGTGACTTACTGAAATTTCTTAATTAAAGAATTTTTTATGTTATTTCAATTATGATGACGTCTATAAAACTGTGGCGGCTTCACTGTTCTCGAGATGTAGGTGCTGCCGCAGAAAATCAACGAGCGACCACCTGCTTTCTGTGGCCGCGACGACTTAGAAACGTTGTTGGCGAGCGATATGTCACAAGATTGGATCAGAATAACAGAAATGTTTCTTGGGAAAGTTCCTGAAGGGTTCCTTTTCATTCCCAAACATAACGCTAATGCTTACAGTAAAGATGGCTTGTCGTGAAATGAGCTATAATATGTAATTTTTTGTTACTTTTAAAATATTTAACTAGCTTTGAAGTGAAGTACACGTTTTTTGGTAGATGCCTTAGTTTTGATATCCGATTACATTATGGCTATTGTGTTTTAAGGGCTGTTCAATATTTATTTGGCTGCAAATATGGGTTAAGACTTGCCACATGCTTTTTTTTTCTGTTTATATCGCTTTCTTCAATCCATTAATACTGCGTTTAGCTAGTTAGTTTCTGTGGATGTGATATGATTCCTGGGTAGTTTCGTTAACTATAGGCGGATTCAATCCTAATTTCCACTGGGCGGGAAAACGATTTTGGCTGGAACGATTCCAGCGGAATTGGCAGTGTGCCATTACGCTATATGGAAGCACCCGGAAGATACCGGAGAGACTCCGGAAAAAGTACCTGAGAACTTTTTTGTCAGTTGTGTACATCGGTTGCTGTTAGTGTCCTTTTGTTCGCAATAGTCCACACTGTTAACATTCCAAATTTCTCCGGTTTTGGTTCTGTTTCTGCCGA